GGGCTTGAAGAAACAGTGGCTATGGTAATATCGATTCTTTTACTAAGCGCCCTTTCTTTAGCTGTCTTATTAGACGTGCTTTCAAATGCATTCAACTTTGACTGTGGATTTATCAATTGCTGGTCTTCAATACCTACTCAATCTCACTCGACGCATCGAATCGTTGTTGTTATATTTTCGGAACGTTAGTTTTCTATCTGCCGGAATTTTTCAAGTAAGCACTGCAGCATCTAAAGACATGTTAGATATTTTGAATGCGTTTTAGTGTAGAAAAAGAAGACACCGATAAAACCGTCGCTTTTTTGAAACGACGGTTTGATGGAAATTTTAAAGCAGTTTTTATCTGATTGCTTTTTTTACTGATTATTGTGTTTATGTGACTGGACATTGAATATGTTGTTGAATTTGTTGAAATATGATAAAGTCTTTGATAAGTTGTTTTTCATGACATTGAGATTTAGTTTTGAACCACATTTGGAAAAGAATCTTTTGACAGCCTTAATAAAACCTCCACATTCATATCTTTGTTTGAGCAATTTCTTATACATATTTCTACTTGCTCCAAGGTATGTTTTATACTCGTTGCATGTAAGAGATAAACGAAGGCGTTATCAATTACTGCAACATAACCTATAACTTTTGACAAATTGGCTTTCAGATTAAGGTAATTGAGAATGCTAAATCCATATGTGTTTCGTCTATCGTATGGTTTGATCACCGATAGAAACAGCAAATGTGAAAATGACACCCTAATCCATAAGAATAATGTATCGAGAATATTGAATATTATTAGACTAATGCAATACTGATTTGCACATATAAGTTGAGTTGAGACGCCCTAAGTTTGAATATATAATTTGTCACTTTTCTTACTGCCCATTGTCATCAATATTTGCTTCAATTTTAGATTGTTTTCCACATACTCTGAGTATGCTTACAATCAAAGAAATTAAACAATGTTATTTTTGGTTACTTCCATCGTTGGGAAATGTTCATCCGCTTGGTGGTTTTATTCCATTTACAATTGCTTTGATATTCTGCTGCTTATTAATAGTATTTATTTATCCTGTTTAGTTGAATAATGATAAACAACTACAAAATACAATAATAAAAATTCGTGATGATGCCGACCGATTTGTTGAAAAAATAAAAAATAACGAAAACCTTGTTAAAGAATTTGATTGGTTAAAGAATTTTCAAACGGCTATTAAATTCTTAAGTGTAATATCACAAACTATAGGACGTATACATTTAATTCGTTATTTATTCGCTGTTTATAATATCTTTTTTATGGAAAGTAATATTGTCGAAAAAAGTATCTAGAATTATTCTCTATATGCCAATATTATTTTCTATCCTTGGAGGATATATAGATGTAATAACACACAATCTATTATTTACAGCGTTTCAATTTATTCAATTTTTTATATCTTGGATTATATTTGCTTTATTTCTCAATAATTATAAAAATAGTGAGCTAACGAGGGAACCGCCTGATGTGCTAAAAATCTTTTTGAGTGGGACTATTTTTAAAATGTAGATCCTCATGGACTATGAAGAATCCCAACTTGGTTCGTGCGCAATCAGCTTTGTTGCTG